TTAATGACTTCAGTTTATGACATAACTAGGAATACAGCCCAGCTATGCTTCCTCATAGAATCACAGAATGAGATGGCTTGGAAGGGACATTAAAACTCAGTTCCAATCCCCTGCAGCTGGCAATGTCCCCCTTCCCTCCCCTCCTCTCTCCAGCTCAGGCTGCCCAGGTCCCCATCCAACCCAGCCTTGAGTACCTCCAGGGATGGGACACCACAGCTCTGTGGGCAGCAGTGTCAGCACCTCACCGCTTTCTGACTAAAGAATTTCCTCCTAACATCTAATCCTCTCTTCTTTTAGTTTAAAGCCCTTATCCTATCACTATCAGACCACATGAGGAGTTGGTCTTTCTCCTTGTTATAAGTTCCTCTCAAGTACTGGAAGGTCGCAACAAGGTCTCCCCAGTACCTTCCTTTCTCCAAGCTGTGCTTGCCCAATTCCCTCAACTTCTCTTTATAAGAGGTGCTCCAGATCTCTGATCATCTTCTTACTTTTATTTCTCTTCCAAGTAGTTCATCTCAACTGTTACATATATTGCATTTCCACTCTAGAGGATCACTGAGGATACTCTCCCTTCTTTTCCTCTCAGCATAATAGTGGTTTATACAAAATTACGTATCACTTTTGTAAAGGCCCACAGCATTTCCCTTTGAGTGCTACATAAGGCTGCAGAAGCAAAATGAACTATGCACAACTACATTTTGCACAGCGGATATTCAGGTTGGATTTTAGGAAAACTTTCTTCTTCAAAAGAGTGGTCAAAAATTGGAACAAGCTGCCAAGGGAAGTGGTGGAGTCACAATCCCTGGAGGTTCACAAGAGATGTGTAGATGTGGTGCTTGAGGTTAAACACAAAGGACAACTTACTTACAGTGTGTGTCATTCTCTTGTTAAACTCCCATTTTATGTAGAGTAGAACATATTCAGTCTATTGATGAGATGACATTATTAATTCAAATTGGATTTAATGTTAATTTCTAATTAATACAAAATGAATTTCTGAATAATTGATGAAAAATATATAGGGATTGTATAATCAATGGATATTAAGATGTTACAATCACAAATAAACAAGAGAGTTAGGCAAAGTAGACTACGATAACAAAAGAGAATGAATGGAAGGCTTACTCTTATGCTGGGCTCACCCACAAAACACCAAAAGGAGGGATCTCCAGACAAGATCCTTCCCCACTGGTAGCCAGCTCTTCAATAGGTCTAGGAGGGGTGCAGCCAGGCTCCACCCCTTCCGGCAGCACAGGTGAATTGCCTTCAGCTGTGCTCCTCTGGCTGACTCATGGCTCGCCTCAGTGATCAATCAGAGGTTCAGGCCGTGACTCAGCAGTTCCCATGCAGGGATACATTAATTCGCATTTTGATAAATGAAATGTCAGTAACACAGGATATGTGCACTTCTTGATTTCCAGTTTATTTTGCTTTTTCTAGCAGTTTCAGATGATGTCCAACACTCACCTATCTTGTAATTTATTAAAAAAATTATTATTTGAAGGAATTCTACAGTGAAAATGAAAACGTGATTAACTCAGGGATGCAGTAATGGTGATTCAAGTGTGGATCAAAGTATCCTGTCTTCAGCAGTGGCCTGCAATGAATGCCAAGGCTCAGAACAGAACAAGCTGGTGTGGTGCTTCCCCAGAATACTTTCTCATTCTCTAGCAGTTTTCAGTTAGGAACATTCAATTATCTCAAAAGTATTCTATAAAATCTATTGTATGGAATCATAGAAATTTTGAATATCTTTGTCTATTGACTGATGTTTTGCCAGAGGGACTAATTTCAGATGACTTTCTATTTCTGTCAGAGCTGGCGTTTTGTGCATGCTGAATCAGGACATTTGATAATTATGTGACTGAAGTGGCCATTCTTCTTATGTTTTCCTTCAGTAATGTCTGCACATTAGTAATTCCGTGCACAAAAGAGTAGCGTGCAGTGTTTATAACCTACAGTGTTCACCGTTAAAAATCAAGTGTTCTTTGTAACCATTCAGTCCACCGGTGCTGGAGGCATTCCTGTCACTGATCCAAACCAGAATCCATGTTTGTCCAACAGCAGTGCTAGTTATGTGCAACTGGGATGGCAGTGGGCAGGGTCAGAGGGAAGTGCAGGCATCCTGCAGAGTCCGCGCTGCCTTGTCCCACTGTGATGGGAAGTAGCACCTGTCCCAGTACTCTGTATGCTTTACTCTTCTTCCTTACTCTGCTTCCACTACATCCCTTGGCAGGAAGGACTCGGGCCCTTAACATTTTTTTTCTGAATGTTTAATTTTACTGGCACAAATAAGACTTCTGTAAATAAAGCACTCTTCTACTAAAGTGGACTTGGACAGAGACTGAAACATAGATAACTTGCATTTGAAACAAAATGTGCTTATAAGGCAAGGCCAAATCAAGCATTACTGAGTGAAAAAGAAAAACGGCAGAGTTAAGGAGACATTAATTACGACTATTCACACTGTGGGAAGCACCCAGGTGTAATTCATGTTAAGCCAACGGAAACATGAAAAGCAAATGAAGTTGAAATACTCAGGGCTTGTTTTTGGAGGATTTGGAGTATTTCTTGTCATGTAGGCACTTATAATTTCATGGTTGCATGTTTGAATTTACTGTGGTTCTTAGGAATAAACTTAAACACTAAATTTTCTTTTTAAATACTCTGTAAATTGTTTTATTTTACATTATGAAATATCCTGATGTATTTGAGTTCACTGCCTCAAAATACACTAACAAATGTACTGACAATTAAATGTGAGACCATGAAAAGCTACTTCTGCAGTTTTACTACATTTTAATGTAATTTGAGTTTAATCAAAACAGAACTTGTAATCATTTTGAACAAGTATGGTCCAAAAATTAAGCTAGCCTTGAGCAACGCACAATTTCTAAATTAAATTAGTAAAGTAGAAGTCAGGAAAATCTAAGTGAAATTTGGGTATTGAATTGATTTGATTTTTCAGATCTAAATAGAAAAATGTAGCTATAAGCAAGAGGTCCAGAGTGGATCATCTATGAGGAAAACACCCTGACTACTGGGACAGTCTGGTCTTCAAAGTTCAGCCATGATCTGCCTGTTGGTCCACGTTTTCTGAACAGTCAGGCTTATTAGGGCTTTAACTAAACTCATGTTTAATAGAAACACATTTCATTTCACACACCTCTAAACTCAAACTGTCATTTTACTTAGCCACACTTGGTGTAAAATATATTCATTTAATACAGTATTTATTTAAGTGTCTTAAATTAGTTTCACAGTAATATGTTGCCACGGGGAAGGCTGATTACACATAGATCAGAACAGAATCCCAAATGATACCCCACAAGGAGCCACTGGATCAGTCTCAGTACAGTATTAGACAACAGTAAGTTGCTGGTGACTTCCATCACGTTTATGGATCTTTTAAAAGAGATATCAATCTCCTCATCTTAAGAATGAGAACTTTTTATATAATTTTTTAAAATAATACTAATTTTGATATCTAAATACAGTGCCCTAATTTTCAATTTTATTGACTTACTGGAACTCAAAGAGAATTCCAAAGAATTGGAATTCTTGCTCTTGCTCAAAAATAAAATATGGTAACAGACCTTTGCACAGTATGATGATGAGTCTGGAACTCTTTGACGTGATACATCTGAGTCAAGGATTCGGCAAAGTTTAGGCAGAGACTGGTCAACTAATTTGAGTTCACCCAATCACATAGTACTAACAGTTAAGGTTGAGGTCAACATGATGCAGGTTGACAGCAAGCTGAGCATGAGTCAACAGCATGCATAGGTAGCCAGGACGGCCAACCATGTTCTGGAGTGCATCCAGCATATCATCTCACCGACTGAGGAAAGCGATTGTCCCATGCTGCACTGTGTGTGCGACCTCATCTTGGGCACTGTGTGCAGCATTGTGCACCACGGTACAAAAAGGTATAAAACTATCAGAGAGTGTCCAAAAGAGGGCTACAAAATGGTGGAGAGTCCACAGGGGATGATGTGTGGGGTGTGGCTCAGGGCACTTGGTTGTTTCAGCCCAGAGCAAAGGAGGTGAGGGGAGGCCTGATGGCAGCTGCAGCTCCTCACAGAGAGAAGAGAGCAGCACTGATCTCTGCTCTGTGTGACAGCCATAGGGCTCGAGGGAACGGCACGGAGCTGTGCCAGGGAAGGGCTGGGGGGGTGGGGAAAGGCTCTGCTCCTGAGGGCGGTGGGCATGGAAGAGCCTGCCCAGGGCAATGGGCATGGCACTGAGCTGCTGCAGCTCACAGAGACTTGGGACGCTGGTCATTGGGTTTGGTTATGAGTGGTGCTGTGTGGATCTGGGAGTTGGGTCAGCAATCCTTGCAGGTCCCATCCAGATAATGATATTTTGTGATTCCATCAGAAGGAGTAAGGTGGCAGACTATGAGATATATGCCAGCACCAACTGAGGTTATGGTGAAGACAAATGATGAAGACAAATGATGAAGAGCTGCCTGCTCTTGGACAATGGACATTTTTGCATGCTCTTCTGTGAAGCATTAGATAGGGCTGTGCTGAGAAGGAAGCCTAGAAGCACAGTTCTGCTAAACTTTTAAGTAAACTCCTACCTTCTTAGATCATAGGCAGCATAACACTAGGCGTGCTGCCTAGCAGCCTGATATTGCTACCGCCTGAGCAGAAGAATCTGGGGCTGTTAGCACTGAAGTGACCAACGTGAGCTGCACGTCTAGGCTTTATCAACGAGCTGCAGAGCGTGAGGTGGAAACCGTAACACCTTTTCTGTTGACACTGCGTTCGGTTTGTGTCAACACGTCAGTGGCGGCAGTACGGGGCGCGGGCTGCAGCGCCGCCGGCCCCAGCCCCTTCGGGCCACGCCTGAACAAGCCGCGCTCCGGCCGCCTCCCCGCCCGATTATGTTAATCCGCCCAGGCTTTACATATCCCCTCCCAAAGGCCCACCCCCGCTATGAGCTGCCTCGAGCTGCCGGCGCCGCGCCGACCGCCCGCACTGCCCGCCGGCAGCCGGAGCCGGCGCTGCGTGCAGTGAGGCGGTGCCTCCTGGAGGGCGGCTGTTTGGTGCTGGGGGGACTATCGCCTAGGGAGGAGTTAATGCGGCTAAATTCGGAGACACAGCTGAGGCTTATAGATATGTAAACATATATATGTGATTACACGTCTATTTATAAAGGTGCTTTTGAGGCCGTCATAATGAGAAACCAAGAAATTTCAGCTTGCCTAGGGAATGTTTCTTATACAGATGTACAGCAGTGTGCGGGTTGTGATGCTGCAACCAGATCCCAGTGCTTTGGGAAGATTAAACGTGGTCTCCCCAGAATCAGAGATCCCCAGGCTGTGCCCCCAGCTGCAGGCCTGCAGGCACAGACAGTGCACAGCGCTGCGGAGGAGCACTGTACAGGTACGTCTCGTTGGCTAACATTGGTGTGTTTGCTGTGTGCCCACAGCGCGGGGATTGCTGGGGAATGGGGCAGTGACAGCACAGTGTGCCTGTCTGATGGCTGTGGGATTGGTGATGCAAAGCAGAGCTTGGCTGGCAGTAGTTTCTTTACTGCAAGTTTGCAGTGTGACAGAAATCTTCAAGTTGCATTGAATTTGAGAAAAAGATGGTGTATGACTAGGGTTTTGCCTCTGTAGCACCCCAAAGCGGTTCCTCTGTGTTTCTAGGTGTGCCACTTCAACTCTAGCTTTCCAAAGTGGTAGGCCTGACAGCAGGGGGAACAGCACTCATGTCCCGAACCTGCACTGATGCATTGTGCCTTGAGAGCTGTGGTCCTGCCTGGCTCCTCTGGGAGCTGCGTGGCCTTGGGGATGAACAGCAAAACCCTGTGTCATCTGGGTAGTGAGGAGGACAGAGAATCAAAAGTGATTCAGATGGTACTGTAGTAACAATATTTGTGAAGTGTATTTATAATATATTAAAAATGTTGAGCACCGGGCTGTTGGAAATGTTTAACAAACAGTTTTTGGTTATGTGCCTTGGCACAGTTCAGGTATTGCAGTACTGCAAGAATTATGTGGAAGTGATAAGGCTCCCAAAATATTTCCTTCACTCAGATGTTTGAAATAAAGCTGAGTTTTCATTTTTCATGGAAATTATATAAAATACTGTTGGGGGAAGGTATTTCTAATTTGTGTGCTTGGAGTTGTTTAAATGCCTGTTTATGTTTTCCCTGTACAGAAATGGATAGGTGCTACATACACTGTGTTTATAAAAGCTTTTGCAGGCTGTCAGCTGAGTTTCTATGACACAAGCAAAATATTGTATTTTTCAAATCTTATACTGTATGCTGCAAACCCATGCTGAAGCTAGGAGTCATAAGTGGAATTGTTTGGGTAAAGGAATCCTTTCCACACTAATCAAGAAAATTGTACTTAAGATTCTGCAACATTTGGAAAAGTGACTGAAGTTGGAAAAGCCTTCAAGTGTTAGGGCCCAATTCTGTACAGCTTTGCCTAGATGAAGCATTCTCGCTTTCATAATTGCTCGCACTGACACTGAAATTATTTATGGGAATTATAAACTGTTAGTGTGACAATGAATGTGCAAGAGTCTTAGCAGTATAGTAGACTGGATTGTCCTTCCACTTCTCTCCCAGAAGTTTTATTGTGCAATGGTCAGTTAGGTGAAGATTTCCTTTCCCCTTTCTGAGTGTGAGAAAAACAGAAAGCACTTCTTTGACAATGTACATGCTGCTGATCCAAACAGGAATGTGTGAGGTTGTTTATCTGTTCCCAAGCTGTATGTACAGGAGTCTATCTGAGCCCAAGATAAGCAACACACGTACACTTTATATTTAAAACAAGGTGTTTGAACAGCGTGCAGGGCTGTCTTCAGTGATCTCCTCATTTGCCACTGAAAGGCAGTCATGTCTGTAGCACAGACAGACAAATGTCTGTCATATACAAAAAAGAAATCTAATTCTCAAATGTAAGTTTTCAAAAAACAAAAGTATTTATCCAAAATTTCTTCTCCATGCATTTGAACTACTTTATTTCAGTAATGCTGAAACTATTTATTCCAATATGTCACTTTGGTATGGTTTTGGACCAGACATTGGGAATATTTTCTATTAAAATTTTGACAAAATGAGAAGCTTGTTGCAAATTTGTTGATTTATTGTCTTTCTTCAGTAGGAGAGTATTCTGATAGAAAAAGTTCATTTAGCTTACAGGTTGGAAGTGTTACAAAGATCTTAAGCATGAAAGCTTGTTGCCTGTACGGTAATAAAAGGGTATGTATATATTACAAGGTCTCTTCTACCTCTACATTTGCAAAATTCTTCTGATCAGTACTGGAGATTTGGCTGGATTAGACTTACTTGATTTATAAACTTATTCTATTTTCTGAAGTTGTTTCTAGCAGTTCCTGATTTGAACAAACATGAAGAACACAACAATCAGCATATAGCTATAATAGATTTAGATGTAAATAAATTAATCAATCTTGTCTCAAAATGTTGTAGCAAAAAAAAGAAAAATCAATGTATTTATTTTTAAAATCCTGTGGTCTTGGCATTACAGCTGATTTTATTAACTGTGGAAAGAAATGATCTTAATTTTTAAGCGAGCTGTTCTAGAAAGCAATGAATATACTTTACAAACATAACCCAGAATTGTGAAGGATAGTAAGGGGGAATCTAAAAGTAGATTTCCTGGTCCATATTTACATCTTTGAAGAAGTGACCCAGTTTTTCCGGAGGTGCAGAACAACCATGGCTGTGCATTCCATGGGAGCTCTCAGCTGCTTAGCAGTTACACAGACTGACATTCAGAGTCAGTGAAGGAAATTTGTAGAAGCTTTTTCTGTATGTGTTAAGGTAGGTGAAATGTCAGCCTATAGCACTGTTCTAGGACATCACTGTTTTGCCTCGTGTCATCTTTCTTACTTGATTTTTGGCACAGGGAAGCTTTTTATACAGTGAGGTCACTGAGAGACCTGAGGTTTTGGCTGCCAGCCTCGTTGCACTCTCACTTGGCTGTGAAGTGATTCCGTTTTATCTTGCAAAGCTCAGGGAGTATTTATAAAACAGAAGCCACGGTTCTGTAGCAGCTTTGGCAAATCCTTCTTAGTCAGAAAGTTTTACTATTTTTTTAACTCCTCTTAGATGAAATCATCCATCTCTGGAAGAAGACATCTTCTTCTATCAGAAATAGTTTAATAGTAGTAAATATACTTAAACATGAGTTTGAGCGTGGATCACAAAGACTATTTTCTTAATTTATTCTACTGCATATTTTCTCTATATGTATTTATTTTCTTCTTGACACTGCATATGTATTATCTAAAGTATAGGTCATTTTCGGTGCTTTTAGAGATTATTATCATATCAGTATACAGTGTAAATTTGATGTTCCATGAGGTAGTATGGTAATGGACAGATCATCAGTGGGTATAGTAAAATATTTCCGTTTTCTTGACTGGAACTATGCTAATTTCTCAATCCACATCTTCTACTTATAAGCGAGGTCACTGTTAGGCTTCTTCTTTTTGTTCATGTTGCTACAAAATACCAGAAAAAATATTTTAATTTTGTGTTTATTTCAAGTAAATGATCTGAACAATCTTGTGTTTGTAAATGGCAGAGGCCTTGGTGGTTTTTTTCTTAGTATTTCGGTAATGTGAAATTACATCTGGCAATAAAAAAACTCAAAACACATTAAACCTACTTTTCCTCTAAACTTCTTCCCAGTTACATGTTCCTGCTTAGTTAAGTTGTAGTGAAACAAGAAAAATAGTAATGTTGGGTACAACGTACATGGAAGAATATGCTGTTTGTGTTCTGTTTCTTTGAAGCCAGCAATCTATGATGTAGCATCGAAATGAAGGAAGATTTCCACTTTTAAATTTGCAAGTTACAGTAATAATAAATAGCACTAAGGATATTAATGATATGGTGTATCAGAGTGGAGAGACTTGCTCATGGTGTGCTGTAACCTTATCTCCCAGTACAATAGCATGCTAGTCTGATAGAGAGATTTGAATGCAGTGGTTCTTGTGTGCTGCATAACACTTAGTAAGTTGTGAGCAGAAGCTGGACAAAGTTAAAGATTTTGTCCATCAGGTACTGGAAGTGACATTACTCAGATATAATTTGAGAAAATTTCTTTTTTTTTTTTCTTTTCTTTTAACTGGATAAAGTAGAATTGTAGTTTCTGTTTTAGAATAAAAGTTTTCCAATGGAGTCCAAATGGAATTGTTACAAAACCAAAAGAGGTACATGTTGTTATTTTCACTTAAAATACAAGGAGATAATAGAATTTTTTAGGATTTAGTTTTTGTCATCAGTGTTGCACCTGTGTTGGGAGTTACGAGCTACTCTGTTTTTCAGGCTTTGCATTCAACAAATTCAGTTCTGTAGTTAAGCTAACCTGAAATACCTGCAGGATTGGTTACTTTTTATGCTCTGAAAGTAATATATAAAGTTCAGGGAATAGTAAAAGCTCAGGATAAGTCTAGTGGATTGATATTAGGCATTTAAAGAAATTCTTCGTATGAAAAGCTTGAAAGAAACAGTAAAGACCAGAGAATCCTGCCACCTAACTCATCAAATGGCATTAAAAAAACAAAACAAAACCTCTTAAAAAAGCCAGAAATAAGAATTTTCTATTGAGAGCACAAATGTATTTTTATTCTCTTGAAGGTGTTTGTTTGTTTGTTTGTTTTTCTATTTGCTCTGAGAGGGATAAAGCCACAGCACTGACAGCTACTTCTGACACAGGAGTTCAGGATTTTCCTTGCCTGAAAATTGGGAAGAGTAGCGTTTGTATCCTGTCCATAGTGTCTCTAGGTCTCAGAGGTGACACATCATTTTTGTGTTCTCTGTGCAACATGAAACGACAGTAATAATAACACTAAAATTGCCAAAGCTGTCAGTGTCCTGCTTTTTGTGCGTGTGAAGCTTCTACACCTTCAAGAGGACAAAAGTGAAAGCAATAGAAGTGAGGAGTGTAGTCGCAGTAAAGGCTGAATGACTCCTACACATGAATAATGCTGGCTCATGGTATGCACACAAAGTTGGTGAAAGCATTTTTAATGCTATTTCTGGCATGCCATACTGACTAGTGCTTCCTAGACTTAGCAGCCAATGTTCATCTTTCCCAAAATGCGTCCTTGCATTTTCATGCAAACCCAACTTTAGAAGTGCAGTTTTCATCAGAGCTTATGAACTAGTGTGATTTACGGATCACCTGCAGGTCTGTGCTGAGGCACAGCACTGAGCAGAAACGCGAGGCAGGGACTACAGCACTGGGTGCAGGGCAGGCACCAGCCCTGAGAGCTGCATGCCCTGTGTGTAGGGGCTCAGGTCAAAGCATGTTTTCTTTTTGTGAGGCACAAGCTCCCAGAGCCAGGTAAAATCTTAAATATGGGACCTGGGTATTTCTAATGCATCTTCCAGG